AATAAAAATGTTTCAAAGCCCTAGAGCAAGAGCTCTAGAGCATGCATTAATGATGCGGATTTGTGTGGGGTCCACTTTGGTGTGATGCTTTAGCTTGATTTTTTTTTTTTTTTTTTTTTTTTTGAGAACCTGTCAGCTCAATTGAGCTTTTTTTAGAGCTTTAGATCATTACTGTTTTAATGAATCAAACACTACCTTAATCCAAGTTTTACAAAATTACACATGCACACAAAAGTTAAATATTTTTAAACCATTTCAGATGAACACCATAAAAGAAAATTATAAACCAATTAAGCCTATCTTAATTGGCCATCATGCCTTCCTTAGGGTTAGGAGGTCATAGGATCAACTCCCCTAACCTTTTAGGGAAGTTAACTTTAGAAAATGCAAGTATTTAGGTATTTTGCCGAGAGTGGAGAGATTTTCTCCCATTGATGCTAATCTAACAATTAACAATTAATATTTTAACTATCAAAAAAAATAAAAAATAAAAGAAAATTGTAAGTTTTATTTCAATAAAAAAAATGAAGTCACACACAAAAGAAGTCTTAAGGTATATAATTAATAATTAATTAATTATGTATATTCCAAAATTTATTAACAGTATAATTTTTTTAATAACTTAAAAATTTATTAGAGTAAATATTAACTGGCTAATAAAAATAGTGATTTTTTTATTTAATATTTTTTAATTTTTATGAATGTCATTAATAAGAATATTTGATCAGAATGCATTAAGTGGTGTTTTGAGAAGATGGTTAAAAGTTAATTTTTTGATTTTTTTTTTACTTTTTTTAAAAACTATATATAAAAATGTGAGAGATGATATGCCTCAAAATGAATTAAAAATTAAGAAGTAACTTTTAACTCACGTCTCAAAAGAGACCTAAATGACAATAATTAACCCCACTAATAGAAAGGAATAATATTATATGCACTAATTAGTGTACACATTAGTATGTCAATAAATGATATGGCATAATTTTAGAAATTCTAAGTATTTGTAATTTGTATAATAAATAGGGTCATTAATAATATCATAATATTAATTAGTACACTAATATGTACACTAATTGGTGTAGATAGCACAACTTTTTGAGACTACAAGTATGTCAAATTTCGAGGACGAAATTTCTTTTAAGAGGGGAAGAATGTAACACCCAAGTTGTGTGTAGGATTATTTTATTTGATAGATTAGTAATTAAATTAATTTATATGGGTCATTTATTAATATCAAAGACTTAGTTATGAGATGACATTATATTTCCTATTACTTAGATGGGTAATTTTGTAACTTTGAGAAATTAGGTTAATAAGCCCATCAGTTGTGGCTTTAAGTCTTGGAAAACAAACAAAACAAAGGCTGGGAATTGCTCCATAGGCAGCTAGGGTTTGAGAAGGTAGAAGAAAAAAAGAAAAGAAAAAGAGAAGAGAGGTTCAAGTGAGGCTGCAATAGGGATTGGAGGCAGCACGTTGGTGATTTTGGGACACCCATTGGTTAAGGTAAATCTGTCTTTACTGTTAATTAGTAAGTTTATGTTGAGGAATTTAACAATCAATGCATTAAGGGGATTTTGAAGATCTATAGGTGCCTACTTAGGTTTTGAGAATTGGGTGCAATGTGTAAGTGTAACTTTGGGTGGGTAATAGAAACAATGGAATTTTGTATCATGGGTAAGGGTGTGTTTGGCTATAAAGTTGGGTTGAATGGTTTAATCACTTGGATATTAAAGCAATACATTAATCTAATATGGTGGGGGTTTTGTGGGTGTATGTAACACGTAAAAATATTAATTTATTTGAGGTTTTGTTTATTAGGTTTGTGTGATTGAAGTGGTGAAGCTGGGTGTTTGGAGTTGGTGTTGGAATATTATTTTTAAGCGTTTGGTGTAAGTAACCCTCTATCACTGTTGGTTCATTTTTATTCCTATCGAATCGTTTAAAATCATAAATTTATTTATAGCCTTCATGTTCTCTTAAAATAAAATATGGTCAAGTATAAAACAATATCGAATATTATTATGAAAATTATTTGAATATTTGGTGAAACTATTCTGAAAATTGTACTAAACGTTTAATCTGAAAATATCGAATGTTTTATTTAAAAGTTGTGTATTGTTTGAATTTTGAACATCACTCTAGTCTGACTAGGATTTGGACCCTAGCCAATGGGAGTTATTTCTTGGCACAGAAACTAGTTTCTTTTGGGGCTTTGCCACCGGCCTATGCGTGGCTCTGGGCCTTGTCACAGGCTAAGTGACCATAGTCACCAAGACTTGGGTTTTGTGAATCAATTCATTGAACCATCTGAATATCGAACCATCGATTTGAACATCGAATTTACTTTGAATTATCTTGTTGGCTTTTCAATTAAAATGTATTGTACATCGTTTATTTTTTTAGCTATGAAACCATCTTACAAATAATTGTTCATTTATTGAATTATAGCAAAAATTATATTTATTGGTTATCGACTATTTATGTATTTATTTTTTGTATACTTGATCCAGCTAGCAGTGATGGTTGGTTATTTACTGAGCTATCTAGCTTACCCTTATTTTATTTTTTTCAGATTATGAGAAATAGAGCTACGCAGTTCTTACCTTTTCTATAAGATGTGTTCCAGGTCTTAGATAGCATCAGTTGGATCTCAAGTCCTAAAATTAATTCGCTTCGTTACAGTTCACCCAATTTTGATTTGAGTCTGATTGTGTTTGGAAGTGCCATTAAGACTTATAGTAAATATAGCATATCTTTTGGGATTGGCTTTATTTATTGTTGTTCATGGTTAAGACGTTCTCCTATGCTAAACATAAGATATGTTTGGGGATTTATATGGTTTCAATGTGTAAAGCAGTGTATCATAATTTTTCTTAAATTGAGGAAGCACAAAATAAATTAAGGTTATAGAAGAAAAAAAAAATTAAGTAAACCAATTTATTTTTTATCTTTTCCGCTTCTTTTTTGTATTTTCTCACAAAAATAAAACAATCTTAGAAAGTCAATTCTTATATCTTTTAAGGCTATTTTCTTATGTACATTGAAATATTTCTTTATCATATCTATCTTTTGTGAAAAAAAAGTTAGCTTAGGTATATCTTGGAGACATTTTAGTAGTTGACCACCTGGTGGATGAATTATTTTTTATGAAATTATTTATTGGCTTTTTTACTTTAGCAGTTGACTTTAGTGGTTCACTTTGTCCACTTTAGGTGTAGAAGTATATATTTTCACCCTTTGCTAATACATATATGTCTACTCATTTGCACCCTTTGCTAAGAAAAATGGTAACATTAATTAATATTTTCTTTTGCTGTTGTTTGGAGTCAAATTGTGTTTCCAACAGACTGATTTATTTTTTATTTATTTAATGTTTGGAGTGAAATTATTATTTTAAAACTATTTAGATGTGCAAAGCTTTTGTTATTTGTTAATTTTAATAAATAGATTCTTGGAAGCAAAGTACTAAGTGATTGATGTGTTTTATTGATAATTTCCGTTGGAAACACAACTCATTTTGATAAATTGTTGAATTTTAGTAAAATTTGGTGGCGGAAAATGATTGGTAGGTTATTAGTTTCTATGTGATTTTATCTATGTGATTTTTGATAAATTGTTTATCTATGTGATTTTTTATTAATTTCTTGAATGAGCTCAACACAATTCAGTAGAGCTTAAGCCATCGATATGTAGAAGCCCTCGATATCTATGTGATTTTTATGTGATTTTTTATTAATGTAGGAGCCATTGATATGTTAAGTATCTATTGATTGTTTCGTTCGGTTTGACTTGGTGAATTAAAATATGCTATGTATTTAATATTTATTTAGTTAAGTTCACTTTTGTATTACAGGTTTTGACAATACTAAGCTGCATCAGCCTCTAAAATTTCCGCACATTTATTATATTTATATAGATTTACGGTCTAAATGTGTTGAGATATAGTGGGATTTAATTTTATGATAATGTGTTCAATATGTTCCGAATAATGGGTCTCAAATATAATGATAAAGTGTTTCAAATATAATTTTAAGTTTCGAGTTATCCTCTACTGTCTATAACTTGCTGTTGAGTGGATGGAGCTCTCAACTTTGCTAAATAAACTTTCAATAGGCTTTGATAGTCAAATATGCCGATTTTTTTACTTTTTTTGGTCCTTACTTTGTTGGTTTTTGGATTTTCTGGGTGTTTGATTATTGAAAAAAAATAGAGGATAATTTCATGGCTTCTGAAATTGTGAGATTGGGGTGGTTGAGTTTGACTTTATTAAATTACAGAGGATAATTTCATAGCTTCTGAAATTGTGAGATTAAGTTTGTCCACTTCAGGTGCAACAATATATATTTGTTGCCTTTACTACTACACATGTTTCTACTCATTTGCACCTTTTGCCAAGTTGGGATGATGTAGCATCTTGGACAATTTTAATATTTATTAATTTGTAAGAAAAATAGTAAGATTCATTACTACTTTCTTTTGATGTTGTTTGGATTCAGATTGTGTTACCAATACCTGAAAATGTTTGGAGTTAAATTAAAATTTTCAAACTATGGATTTATTGCAAATCTTTTGTTATTTGTTAATTTCAATAAATACATTATTGGAAACACAACTCCTTTTGGTGGCGGAAAATGATTGTTGGGTTATTAGTTTGTCATATGTGTGATTTTTTTTTTCCAGTGTGATTTTTTACTAATTCCTTGAATGAGATATTTTGTCATATGAATTAACTGCGGATTTCAAAATGATTGATGATTTTTTATTAGTTTGTCATATGAATTAACTTTATAAATTTTGCAATTCCATTTAAACCTCTTTTAGTTCAATTAAATTCAACAAACCTTAAGCCATCAATAGGTTTGATTCCATTTAAGTATCTATTGATTGCTTCATTTGGTTTCACTTGGTGAATTAAAATAACTTTTGTGTTTACATAAGTTATGTATTCCAAAACCTTTACTGGATTAATATGTATTTACTAAAGTCAACTTTTGTATTACAGGTTTTGGCAATATTAAGCTGGAACGACCTCTAACATTATGGATAATGTAAGTTGTCTTTTTTAAAAAAACTGGTACATAGATTTTAAAAAAACTTTTGTATTATAGGTTCTTATTATAAAAAAAAAATAAAAAAATTCCTCATTTTTTACAGCTAGATGGAGACTTAGAACGAATTGTAATATTCGTTCCCTTTACTCATCGTCTTATAAAATTTCATTTTGTGTACATATCAGCTACTTATTTGTTTTTGTATGTATAGGTTCAGTTTCTTCAACAAAGAAATGTCGGTGTAGTGATTCGTGATGAGCATGATTTCAATGTTGTTCGTATTTCTAATGTCAGCCCAAAAATCACTTTCTTATCATTTTTTTATTTATTTTTATTTCTTATACTTTGGTTATTTCTTAGACTTTGGTTATTTTTTAAAGGCAATGGAAAAGGAAAATGCAAAGACAATGTCGAAAGGAAAAGAAAAGGTGTATTATGCTTCCAAGGGCAAGGGAAAGGAAAATGCATGTCCAGTGGTATAGTTCTTAATGGTTTTTGTAAAGTGTTTTTTTTTTTTTTTAAATTGTTAGTTTTCGTATGTTTGTATTTTAAGCCATAATTGTGGAGTGTTTTTGAAAATGCATGTCCATTTATTTATTTTAAACCATAATTGTATTTTTTTTCTTTTAAACTGTTCACTTTTTAAGTGTCTCCTGTATATATGTGTAAATCTGCACCACTTTTCAATGTGGTGCAGCGAAAATTTTGAGATAAGAGATAAAGAGAGGAGAGAGAAAATGGGCAATTTTTTTTTTTTTTCCAGCTATGTGAATGGGGATACTTTATGAAGTTCATAAGTTGGCCGAACATTTGTTTGTTTGTATAACAAAACCATACAATTTATTATATAGATTATAAATGACAATTTTGAGTTATGTCATTTTTTTTTTAATTATAACCAATTTTCTTCTTTAGTAATGACCTTATTTTAGTTATGCCTCGCATGTTGTTTGATTTTGATTTTTTTTATTTTTATTTTTATATATAGTTATAACTCAAAAAGTATGAAATTATGCTATTTTTTCTTTAGTTATAATGTGCATACATCACACACCATTTATAGTGCTTCTCTTGTGAGAGGTATCATTTTGACAACTTATTTACATCTATAAATATAGAGAAGTGCTATTCAAATTTTTAAAAAATAATAATAATAAATTTATTGGGTAAATACTTTACACTATGTGCCAATTTATTTGTTTTAATTTGCTCAATTTTGCCCCTTAATTTAACAGATTGTGTCATTTTAATCCAATAAATAACGGTTGTCAAGTTTGGTGGACAGAAAGTCTACACAATATGTCAATTTGGTCCCTGTAGTTTACAAAATTTGTCAATTTAGTCCTTGTTATTTTAATTTGCTCAGTTTTGATAGAAACTAAATTAGCACATTGTGTAAACTACAGGAACCAAATTGACACATAGTTTGACTTTCTGTCCACTAAACTTAACAACCGTTATGTATTGGACTAAAATGACACAATCCGTTATGTTTAGCGGTATGGTTGTTATTGATTTTGTAGAGTTTTTTAGTTTTTATTTTTATATCTTCATATATTGTATTTTATTTAGCCATAATTGTATTTTATTTTTGAAACTATGCACATTTTTTGGTGTCTCCTGTATATTCTTAGGAAGAAAGAAATATATAGGGGATACTTTATGAAGGAATATATAGTGAGAAGGGAATATATAGTGTCTCCTATAAGTGCATGGGCCCTACAAGAAAATGGGGATACTTTATGAAGCTCATCTGCTGATCGAACATTTGTTCATTACTGTTACAAACACAATATGCTGGTCGAACGTTTATTATTCTCATAAGTTGGTTGAACATTTGTTCATTAGTGTAACAAAACTACACAATTTATTATTATTATTATTATTATTATTATTATTATTATTATAAAACTATAGGCAGTCATGAGCAAGAGTATAATACATTTTCTCTAAATTCTTGGTATTTTCTTTGGACAGTGGAAAATGGTACTTGATAATATTTGCATTTTAAGCATTCAATGATTTAATATTCATATTTTAGGGACCCAATGGTTATGTTATATCAAGAGCTGTATTAGCTCAACGTAAACGACGAGAACGTGAAAGAAATAAAAATGCATGCTCTGCATATCAATCGAGACACTGCTTGCGACAAGAACGAGAGAGATTGGGAGCATATGTTAAAGACTTTCCTTCATTAACATCGAGTCGTCGCAGTCATGCTTGCCTAGAATAGGGTACAAAAACACTTGCGGATACTTCGTTGGCACAAAAGCGAACAATGGTTACACATGCATCCACATGTTCGTTCTCTATGGAAAGTACATCTTTAGCTCGGAATTGGTAAAACATGTTTAATTCTTTAAATAATACTCTTACTTTTACATGTGTATAAATTTTAATTTATGCACAACAAATATTTGTAGGCCTAATTCTACAGTCACATTTCTTCAAGAGGATCTATGTACAGATGATGAATTAGAAGATACAACTATAAGTACTGCGATTAATACTCAATCACACATGAGTTCATGTCGTCATTCTCTCGGCAAGATGGATGTGTTATGTCCTTACTGTTCAGCCTTACATTGGATGGACGAAAAATTAGCACAATCATCTCGAAAGCGTCCCCTATTTGGAACTTGCTGTTCAAAAGGAAAGACTAGGCTACCTCTGCTTATGACATCCCCTCTACCGCTTCAAGCATTATATGATGGGGATGATGATCAAGCAAGATTGTTTCGACGTTATGCTCGAGTATACAATGCAGCCAATGCTTTTACAAGTCTTGGTGCTACATTGGATCCAAGAGTACTAAGGGGAAGCGGCCCTAAACCATTTATTATCCATGGAGAATTACGACATCGAACAGGATCACTTCTACCATAGCTAGGTCAGGATGCGACTTATGCTCAGTTGTATATTTATGATCCTGATTCAGCTTTAGAAGTTCAAAATCGTAGAAATCCTTACTTACAAAGGGATGTTCTCAAAACTATTCAAGATAGTTTGTTGCAAGTTAATGCATTTGTAGACAAATTTCGCCAAGCTCATGCAATTTTGAATCAATTAGCCTTCACTGGACAAAATCTACCTGCTCATCTTCACTACAGTTCAGCAACAGATCAACGATGGTATAACCTACCAACTGCTGACGAGATTACAATTGTAATATCATGTGATGGAATCGAGGTTACTGGAATGAGAGATGTTGTTTTACATCTACAGGGAAATAATGAACTGATGCAAATTAATGAATGTCACCCAACGTATTTGCCATTGCATTATGTTTTATTATTCCCGTATGGTGAGCTCGGATAGGAACCTGAGTTGAAATTGTGGGACGTTAAACATGATCGACCTTCAACTGATCGACTTACTCAAATGGATTTTTATAGTTATCGTTTGTTTGAGCGACCTACAGAGTATTCAACAATTTTGAGAGGTGGAAAACTATTCCAAGAGTTTTTGGTAGATGCTTGGGCTGTAACTGAGCAAAATCGGTTGACGTACTACAAGCTTAATCAAAAAAAAAATTCGAGCTGAACTTTACCAAGATTTAAGCGATATTGATCCAGATGACTTGCGACCTAATCAAATTGGTCAAAGGTTTATTTTGCCATCTTCATTTACTAGTAGTCCTAGACATATGCTTGAAATCTTTCAAGATTCAATGGCTATCACGCGATACAACCAGCACCTAGATATTTTTCTCACCATGACTGCAAATCCCAATTGGCTAGAAATTACTTCAGCATTATTACCACACCAAAAAGCTATTGATCGTCCGGATTTGATTGCCCGTGTTTTTGAGCTAGAAAGAAAGTGTTTGATGAAGGAGATAGAGACAAACAAAGTGTTCGGTAATAAAGTTGCACATGTTTTTACAATTGAATTCCAAAAACGAGGCCTACCACATGTGCATGCGCTTCTCTTTCTTAAAGGTCCAGACAAAATTCGAACATGTGCTCAAGTAGACAAATTAATTTGTGCAGAATTGCCAGATCCAAAAGATGATCCTACACTTTTTGAAACTGTCAAGTGTTACATGGTACATGGACCATGTGGTGCTCGAAATCCCCAAGCACCATATATGGAAAATGGTAGATGTACTAAGAAATACCCTCGAGCCTTTGCAGAATCAACAACTATGGACCAAGATGGATATCCAATCTATTGTCGTCGCGATAGTGGTCAAGTATATACTGTGAGAGGACATGAAGTTGATAACAGGGATGTGATACCATACAATGCATATCTTTCTAAACAGTTCAACTGTCATATAAATGTAGAAGTTTGTGCTGGAGTGAGATGTGTTAAGTATATACATAAGTATATTTACAAGGGTTATGATCGCACAACAATGGTTTTGGGATTGATTAATGAGATCCAACAATATCTTGATGCGAGGTATATTGGACCACCAGAAGCTGCTTGGCGAATATTCGGTCATCATTTGCATGTAGAGATGCTAACAGTTGTTCGCTTGGCACTTCATTTACCTGGAATGCATTGTGTTCTTTTTAATCCTAATGACTCATTGGAAATGATTTTTTCTAGAGCTGCGCAACAAAAATCGACTCTTACTGGTTTTTTTGATTATTGTGCTTCCAATGAAAATGAATGCCAATTCACTTACCAAGAATTTCCGTAACATTTTGTTTGGCTCAAGTCAGAACATAGATGGAAACCAAGAGAACATGGATATGCAATTGGTAGAAGGTACTTTGCTAGCCCTAACTATGGTGAAAGATTTTATCTGCGTTTGTTGTTAACTGTTGTCAAAGGGCCAAGATCGTTTCAATGTTTACGTACAGTTAACAATGTTTTGCATGAGACGTTTAAATCAGCATGTGTTGCCAAAGGACTCTTAGAAGATGATGAAGAATGGATACAGTGCCTGAAAGAGGCTGTAGTTATGAAAACCGGATATCAATTGAGGAGATTGTTTTGTGTTATTCTGACCCAATGTTTTTCCACTACAACCACATGCGTTATGGAATCAATTTTCAATGCATATCTGTGATGATCTTGCACATAAGCTTCGTACATTGTTTGTCATTTCTAACCCAACTGAGGCTCAAATTGAAGATTATGGTTTGTATCTTTTGAATCAAATGCTTCAAGAATCAGGAAAGAGTTTAATTGACTTCCCGTCCATGTCACAACCTACAGCAAATTGGAGTGCAACAGTTGGTAACCGATTGATATTCGAACATCAACAACTACATAATGAGGCACAACAGACAAATGGGCAAATTACTATTGATCACCTCAATAATGGACAACGAACTGCTTATAACGCAATCACTTCTTCAGTCTTTGAAAGTAAAGGGACTATTTTCTTTTTGAATGGCGGTGCTGGAATGGGAAAAATATTTTTGTACAATACGATTGCATTAAAATGTGTGGAGTTTTCATTTATTAAGTTATATTTAGTACCAACATAATGATGCAAGATAAATTAAATTTTTGAGAAATTATTAAATTTTAATTTATAAACCATCATAAATAATACCAAAATTAACAAAAGATGTATTTTCAATAAATTAAAGTTTAATAATTTCTCAAAAATTTAATTTATCTTGCATCATTATGTTGGTCCTAAACATAGCTTGATAAATGAAAACTTCTCAAACTTGTGGCATAAAAGATTTTATTGCTTTTAGTGGGAGTGTGGGTTGCATTAAGGAAAAACAATTCAATCACATTAAGTAAAATGCCACAAGATATACAGGGCTTCTTCATATTACCCAAATAGATATTAATGTGCCCCTTTGACACTTCATGTTTGGTAAATAATATGTAAATATTTTTATGGTGTTATGCATATAACAACCTTTATAATCCAAAATCGTGAAGTATCATGATTTTCACAAATAATAACATAATGCAAAAAATAATAACATACCCGGATTAGTTATGCCAAACCTTCGAGTGATCCATAATTGATTGAACGTAAACTTAATATCAATATTAGTGGGAAAAGGTTTATCTCTCTTGACCCTCTTTGGAATACATTGAATTCAGAATTATTTTGATAGGTAGTCTGAATGTCCTTTTATGGGTAGAGAGAGGACCGGTTTCCTTATTCAACAATGATTCCACTTTCCCATCAAAGTAGGATACTTGGAAAACACTCTTCTTTATTTACCAATTAATTGTAGCAAAAAAATGTGGAATTATAATTCTGCCAAATATATTACTATATCAGGTGGGTCAATATAATGACTAAATAAATAATTTAGTCTTACATTCTTCACTTGTTCAACTTCAGCCATCTTTGACTAGCCCTTTCTAGCCACTTTTACCATGCCTCAACCCTTCCTTAACCTTTGGTGCCACCCTTTTATGTTTCTCAACCCTCCACTACCCACTCCTCACTTCCCACATCTCTTTAAAACTATCCCGCCCATCTCCATCGTTTCTTCTTTTTCGTCGCAGTCACAACCACTGTCCTAGCCTCGGTTTCCTGTTATGAACTCCCTTCATCATCTTTCTCTTCCTATTTCTTCTTCAACTTCCTCCGATTCCTTCTTAAATAACAAATTTAGGGTTTTCAAAAAAACTTAACCCTAGATCAAAGGCTTTTAGAAGAAGGCAAATAAGAGGACTCTTAAAAGATGATGAAGAATGGATACAGTGCCTGAAAGAGGCTGCAGTTATGAAAACCGGATATCAATTGAGGAGATTGTTTTGTATTATTTTGACCCAATGTTTTCCACTACAACCACATGCGTTATGGAATCAATTTTCAATGCATATCTGTGATGATCTTGCACATAAGTTTCGTACATTGTTTGCCATTTCTAACCCAACTGAGGCTCAAATTGAAGATTATGGTTTGTATCTTTTGAATCAAATGCTTCAAGAATCAGGAAAGAGTTTAATTGACTTCCCGCCCATGCGACAACCTACAGCAAATTGGAGTGCAACAGTTGGTAACCGATTAATATTCGAACATCAATAACTACATAATGAGGCACAACAGACAGATGTGCAAATTACTATTGTTCGCCTCAATAATGGGCAACGAACTGCTTATAACGCAATCACTTCTTCAGTCTTTGAAAGTAAAGGGATTATTTTCTTTTTGAATGGCGGTGCTGGAACGGGGAAAACATTTTTGTACAATACGATTGCATTAAAATGTCGCAGCCTTGGCCATATTGTTGTTGCCGTGGCTTCATCTGGAATTGCATCATTGCTATTAGTAGGAGGTCGCACTGCACATTTAACATTTTCCATTCCATTGGATGCCTTGGAAAATTCAATTTGTGGGTTTAGCAAGCAATCATTACAGGCTGAATTGTTTAGAGAAACAAAACTCATAATTTGGGATGAAGTTCCTATGCAACATAGGTATTGTGTTGAGGCGGTTGATCGCACACTTCGAGATATTTATGATTGTGAAAATCCATTTGGGGGTATCACTGTTGTTCTTGGTGGAGACTTTCAACAAATCTTACCAGTTATAACCAAAGGAGTTCGTGAGCAAATTGTGAATGCATCATTGAGACACTCTGTTTTGTGAAAGGATCTACATGTTTTATCTTTAGATTTGAATATGCGCTTGAATCATGCAAACCTTGGAAATGCTATTTTTGCAAAATTCTTGACGGAGGTAATACTCATTCGAATTTTGATTATACCATTTGATGATACTTTGATTACACCATTTTTTTAAATTTATTTTATTTTATTTATCAGGTTGGAACCAATTCGCAAGAAATCATTAAAATTCCATCAACAATACACAAATGCCAGGATCTAAAGGAATTGCTCTCAGCAGTTTATCCACAATTGGATGTGGCAGATACATCAACCCCATCATTCTTAACAGAACGTACAATTCTTTCTGCACGAAATGATGATGTCAATGCTATCAATATTGCTGCGTTGAATATTTTTCTAGGGAATACATATACGTATCTTGCTGCAGATAAGATGGTTGAAGATGATGAAATTGATCCTTCCATTACGAACAGATATCCTAATGAGTTTTTAAATTCATTGGATCCTCCTGGGCTACTAGCTTTTAAGGTAGAGTTGAAAGTGGGTTGTCCTATAATGTTATTAAGAAACATTGCACTGAAAGATAGACTATGTAATGGCACAAGATTGATGGTATCAAGGTGCGACACTCGCATAATTGAAGCTCGAATCTTAACTGGAGAGAAGTTTGGCAATTTGGCATTTATACCAAGGATATCATTGACTCCGTCTTCTGCAGAAATGCCTTTCCGAATGACAAGACGTCAATTTCCAGTTCGATTGGCATACGCTTTGACCATTAACAAATCTCAAGGACAATCTGTGAAATTTGTTGGGGTTGATTGGCGTACACCTGTTTTTAGTCATGGGCAACTATACGTGGCATTATCCAGATGCACATCTTTCGATCGTATAAGTATCCTCCTCGCTAATGATGAGCTAGATTCCACTACAAATATTGTTTACCCTGAAGTTTTGTTATGAAGACCTTTTAGAAATTGATGAGACGTTCGTAAGAATTGTGGGAAAGAACAAATATAAAGACATTATCAAACACATATTTTTGTAAAGTATATACATTTTGTAAAGCAGACGATAGCTATGACCCACTTTTTGTAAAGCTTTCCACCTATGTGGACTTTGTTGCATTTCAAATATTTTTGTGAAGCCTTTTATTCCCCTATATTTTTGCATTTGTAGTATTACTAAGTTTGATTTAAGAGTGCTGACTTGATCTTTTACAATTGAGTTATTACTTTGGACATGTAAGTTGATTTATTACTTTAGACATATAAGTTGTCACTACTTTGGGCATGTCAGTTGTCACTACTTTGTATACACTTTTTTTTCCCTTTTTGTATAAAATTATGTTCTCTTTTATTTTCATAGGATGATGGAGATTTGCACCAAACTGTTATATAGGCTCTCTTTACTCATCTTCTTTTTTCATTGAGAAAATTACAAATCAATGAGTTTTTAAATATTTTGTGAAGTTATCACCTATTTATAATTTTTCTTATTTAATTTACTCTTCTTACTATACATTTTCTTTCAAGTATTGATACTAGCAATACTTGATGGCTATTAGATGATTTTAAAATCTTTTTAATTTGACTATTTTGTAAAACAACAATTTGTATTTTATAGTTGATGTAATTGATGATTTTCACATTAATTTGACAAACCAGATGAGTTGCAGGAATTATTTTTTTTACCATTTATTGTTGGGATGCTATGACATAGAGTTGATTTCTTCTTCATGATATGATGCATTTAGTTTTTCAATACTTTCCGTATCTTGATTGGAAAATTATTTCAAAATATTTGATTTTCGTATCTTAATTTGTAAACAATTTCTAAAGACTATTATTTGCGAAGTTATGGTATTTATGTTATGTGTATTATATTATTTCAATCAGATATTTGTGGTTCGGGATACTATGACACTCACCAATGTATTAGGTGTTATCTACAAATTAATGGTAGGAGTGCTGACTTGAACTTTTATCAGGTGCTACAGACTCTACAAATTTTAATATGTAGAGTACAAATTACAACTACATTTTAATCTCAATATTATTTACACCGTGCCTTTAGGCACTAACATATACTAGTATATATATATATATATATATATATTACAAAAGAAATCATCCTTTATTATTTTAAAGGAATAATTGTTCCAAAGAAAATTTAGAAAATAATTATTCTATTCTATTCCATTTCATTTTATATTTTTCCAATGAACCAAATAAAAAAACACATAAATAAAATCTAAAATTAACACTAAAAAAGTTAATTTATTTAAGAAATTTTAGTTTTTTTATTTAAAAATATTTTCTAATGATTATTTAAAAAGATGAAAATGTGTGTGTGTTTTTTACGAGAAATAAGTTTGACAAATAAATTAAATCTTATTTAATAAAATTAATTCGTTCAATCATAAAATGATTTTTAAGGCCTAGGTTAAATGGTGGGGCCAAGCAAAGGCAAGTTTTGTTTGAATTTCACACCAAGCAACGATAAGTCAGACTTAAATACTTGGTGTATTATTAAAATTAAGAATCTCATTAGTGAGTTTTCTAAATACATTAGTTTTTAAAAATTTAAATAATTGTATATTTTGATTCATATAAAAAACATATAAATTAAAAAAATATTTGAGTTTTTTTTCCCACATTTTTAGTGATTTTTTTTTGATATTTTAATTATTATTCTATTTTTAAAATAGATTAAAAGTAAAATATTTATAAAAAAAAATAAAAAAAATAAAATATTAAAAATTGCTTGATTTGATTTTTCAAAAATTGTTTTTAAATTAATTTTTATTAATTTTTAATATTTTTTAAATGTATCTAATCAAGATACATCTAAAAAGTAAAATAAATTGATTAAAATATTAAAAAATTATTATATTTTTTAAGTATATTTAGATTAAAAGTATTTAAAAAATAAAAAATTTACATCAAATATTAAAAAAGTTTACATAAAAAAATACAAAAAATAAAATATTCAAGTTTTAGAAAAACAAAAATAACAAAACAAGATGATTTATGTTTTCTTTTTTGGATATTTATTAAAATTTTATTTTATTTTATTTTTTTGCAAAATATATATTTTGGATGCATTAAAAAATTGACTAAAATATGAAAAATTCACAATCAATGACCTAGTAAAATAGTTATGAAAAAATTAAATTAAAAAATATGAAAATTAAAAATTTTAAACATAAAATCAAAGGAAAAGTATTTTCAGAGTTTTTTTTATTAAAAAAAAAATAATAATAAATGTCTGGGCAAGGAAAAGTATTTTCAGAGTTTTTTTTTATTAAAAAAATAAAATAATAAATGTCAGGGCCGTAGGAGAGAAGTCGGGGAAAAAAAGTAGAATCGCGTTGTTAAAAAAGAAAAAAAAAAAACAGAAAAGGAAAATAAAATAATAAGCAAATTAAGTAAGTATTTATTACAATTCTCTACATTTCTTTACAAAAAGCCTCCCTGAGAGCCTTTTCCGTATCCATTCCCTAACCCTAGAAATTCATTCTCTTCTTCCCTTTCGATTACTTTGCTTCTTTGCAGCTTCACAAAATTTTCCCTATTTATTGGTAAGCAATTCACATTTTTCTGGAATTTTTCTGTGATTTTCCTATTTTTGTTGCATTTTCTGGCTATTTTTTTATATACGCTGTAAATCTCGAAAAATAAAAAAATTTCAAAACTGATCGTCCAAGTGCGATTAATTTCTGTGCTTTGTCTGGGAATTTTTTGCACCGTCTGTTGAAAATTTTGAAATTAATCTGCACATTTATATAATTTTTTTTGGGGGGTAAGTAGCAAAGTCCGCGACTTTCCAGGTTTCTTTCAGTGAAATTAGGGTTTTATTTTTTATGATTTCGTTTACTAGATTTTAGTTAGATTTTTTCGCTAGATTTGAGGCAAAGATTGGATTTCTAGGGTTTCTTTCGGTTTAGACATTTTCGAACAGAACTTATTACTTAGGGTTTTAATCTTCAGTAACTTACACATTTCCGGTGAAGTTATTGAGTGAAGTGTGTCTTAATTTATTTTTATTTTTATTTTTTTTGTCTGAAAAAGAAATTTGAAACTCGTTTGAAATTCAAACTGTTTATATTTTTTATTTACTGACGATCTGAAAATCTACGACTTTGAATCAGTGTAATTTCGGAAAAAATGTCGGGATCTGAGACAGGAGTGATGACGAGTAGAGAACCGTTCGCGATCGGAGTTCAAACTTCACCGCATATGATACAGAACATGCGTCTAGCCTATGGTACTGACGGAACAGCCGTATACAAACCCGTCGCCGGCAGCCCTCCGGCGTACCAGTCCGCCGTGAGTGGCGGTGGCGGCAATGGCGAGGGTCAGGCAGTGATGCCGCATAATCTAAACATGAATGTGATGGGGAGCGACCCTTCTATGAAGAAGAAGAGAGGGAGGCCAAGAAAGTACGGCCCCGATGGCGCCATGTCATTGTCCGTGGTGACGCCTCCGCCTCCTGCCACCGTCCCTCAGTCTACTACAGGGACGTTCTCTCCTCCAGCTCCGGCAGGAGGATTGGGTTCACCTTCTTCATCATCGAAGAAGGCTAGAGGTCGACCACCTGGATCAAGCAAGAAGCAACAAATTGAAGCTCTGGGTGAAACTACTAATATTACTATATTATACTTATTTTTCGTTGAGTTCGTTGTTATTATCTTGCATCACGGGCTGGAATATTGAATGTTTTCTGATGCTGTTGGGCTATAAATATTATGCAAATAGTTATTTTGACCATTCTCTTATAATTTGATTGTGTGACCTGTAATTGTAGGTTATTTTATTTTATTTATTTATTTCATGTTAAAAAGTGCTTAATCAGTTTCGGTTCTATTAATTTGATTATCCGATCCCTGGTTTTTTTTACCTTTTGTGTGTGTGTGTTAAAAGTTTTTTTTTAATTAGATTGGGTTGTAATGGGAAATGAATTGCTTATTATTGTCTATATAACTATATGTGTGTGTGTGTGTGTGATATATTGATAATGGGTGGAGTTTATAAGTGGAGCGGAGTGGAGTGGAGAGTGTGTAAATCTGAATAGGAACGCACTGTGGTTATTTTAGAACTTTGGGTCTGTTGGGTCTGATTCCAGATTCTTTGATTCTAGATTCTTATGCATGATCAAATTACATATTTGCCCTTTTATGTTTTGCATTTGTGCTGTTTGTCTCTGTTGGTTGTTCAATTCTTTGTTGTCATGCAAAAAAGAGTGGTAGTATCCTTTTCAACTACCATAAAAACCAGAACATTTGCATTACCAAAAGAGGGAGGAGGCTTTTTTATGCACAGAGATTTTAGACTAGAATTTGAATCTAAATTATTGTTTTAATTTTTCTTTTGTTGTGTATTTATTATTTATTTTTTCAGAAACAAAGGACCAAGAGAGACTTGGTATTTATGCTGTATCATTAGTCAATGGATTACACAGTTGCTGTATTGTAAATATTTCACTTCAATTGAAGGATACTATTTTGGGAGAAATTGCGTAAAGTAGCTTTAAAATTAGGAATATTTTTGTTTTCCAATTATCTTAAATGTATTTCTATATTTTCTTGTAATTGGGCTAGTTGGCAAGCACTAATTATTTTTTTAATTACAAAACGTGCAATTTTCTCAGTTTTCCATTTTGTTATAATTAGAAAAAAGAAATTTGCCTTTGATTTGGTCCATTACAAAGCTCTTTTGCTTTTGTGGATGTATTCATGTAAATAAGCATACATGTGAAGTTTTCTTCTTCTTCCTTTTTTCTTTTTATTTCTGAGGTGGATTTTTTAGCAAAAAATCAAATTCTATTCTTTGCCTTCTATTTTGACAGTTCAATCTTTGAGATTTCATGCTGCATTTCTGCCATGCACACTCATACATACATAATCACATATACATTTTAACTGTAAATTTCTGACGGAGGCTTTTGCTTGCAGGATCAGCAGGGGTTGGATTTACACCGCATATTATGACTGTGAAAGCTGGAGAGGTTTCTCTTTCTAAATAGTTCCCTTTTATATTCTTGATTAATGCAATCAAACATAAATTTGTGTTTTTTTTTTCCTTCCTTTTTTGCAGTCGGCAATTTATTATACCTCTAAGTTAGATTATGAGTTATAAAATTTATAAAAAGGGGGTCAAACAGACCTGTTTCTATTGTGGGACTTGTATCTCTATTTATTTATAACATTCATGCCATGTAAGTAGCAGCTCCTTTTAGAAGTTATTTGCTTGTTTGTTTGGTTTTATCCAAGAAAATCATCACCTTTGTGCTGGTTTTCTGTCATAATCGTTTATTTTTTGGGGTTTCTTTTTTTTGTTTCTGTTTTCCCCCCCTTTCGGTCTGTAGCAAAGTAGTTAAATATGCTCAATTGTGTCATTTATGTGGTAACGTAAACATGTCTAGTGAGTAGTTTATCAGACATAACTCCTGTGTTCTCATTTACTCTACTTATTCAGGTTTATTGATCATAGTGGGTATTAAAAATGCATATTTTTTTCGTATCAATGATTGCTTGGTTTGTTATGGGAAGCTCTCTCTTGAATATCAATATGGACATGACATAATTTCCAGGCAATTACTTTGATGTAGCTCTGTGTCATTGTGCATGGTCAAAAAAAAGCATAAAGAGTCTGCTTTCATTTTTGTTTAGCTTGTAGGATATCATGTGCAATATGTTATATGTCAAGGTTTAAGTGCAATCTGTGTGATCTTTGAAGCTGCAAGGTCCTGTACTCATTCTCTAATTTTATTTATTATGTTTTCCCAGAGTGCTAAATGCATCTTACATCTTTTTGTCAATATAAATGTTATATTAGTAAATGAGTTCCTAGTTTTTTCTCATATCTTTTCTTGTTAACCAAAAATAAAAATATTTGAAATAAATTTAATAAAAGAAAAATCGTGAAAGGGAGATAGAGAAGGCCTACTTCAATGGGGAAGTCCTCTTGTTGGTTCACATTGAGGGGAATCAGGCCTCCATAACAAAAGTTAATCGGTAAGAATATTCAACATATCTTAGTCATCAACAAATGTTGTTTATATACAGTAAACTTTTAACTGACACGACCCAGGAAAACAACCTAACCCACTCTAAATTCTACTAATTTATTAAATATATAATATTTATTTATAAAATATTGTATGTAACTAAATACAAGCCTATCGCTTTTAGCTTAGTTATAATTGAGAAAAAATTGGTTAGTTATGTCATAGATCACCTATATTAATGCTTTTGAAAACATAATTACATGGATTTATGAAGAACCTGATGTAGAAAAATGCATCCATTATTGCAATTATTAGCGTTAAATTACCTTGATATAAAAAGATCTAGATTTTCCAGCCTTCTTTGGGAAAAATAAAACATGCAACTACAAATTGTCAATGTCTTCAAAATTAAGCACAACTTTTTTGGACTGTACTTTACTTTCCAATTGGATTTTTTGGATGCTTGTTGTGTCCTATTCCTGAAATAGACTTAAATATCTTATTGATACATTAGCATGCATGTGTAATGTTTATTTCTTTTTGACATGTGAGCACCTAAGAAGCATAGACACAGACACGGACATAGTGAATTCAAAATATGATGACATGAACACAGTGGAGACACTTCAATAAAAACATATATATATATATTAAATTAATATATAAGTTAATATTACGTCCATAAGCAATCAAAATTAACAAAAACTAACACTAATTCAATATAAAAAAAAAACTAAGATATAAATAATTAATATAGATCATTCATAAAAAGACAAAAACGATAAGAGTTAACTTTAGACAAAGAGGTTATCATCTAGTGTATCATTAATTGATTACAATATATGCAAAAAGTAATAAACATTCAACATGTAACATTCATCAAAAGCACTAAAGAAGAGTGAGGGGAAAGAAAAAAAAAAAAACTGGTTGGCATGTCCCCTAAAAACAAATTAATAAAATAAAGGGACATGCTCTGTGCTGTGTCCCATATGTGTCCCCAAAGTGTCCGTGTGTCCGACACAGATATGGCACTTATTTTGAAGTGTCGCGCCTTGTCCCATGGCCCCTTGTCGTTTGACACCACTACAACACTTGTTTTGAAATAATATGTTCTTGTAGGCTTGTAGATATCTCTTTGTGGGCATTTTATTAGGGAGCTGCTATTCTCACTCCACTTTGCTCTAGATACGCTCTTTTCTTTATCCTTATTATACATAGAAGTGAGTGCATTTGGAGCAAAGTGGCGTGAGAATAGTAAGTATGTATAATAAGGACAAAGAAGGAAGTGTATTTGGGACAAAGTGGAGTGGGAATAGCGGCTCCCTTTTATTATTGCCTCATTAATGGTCCAATCTAATATTTTTACCGTTTTTAGTTCATCTATGTCTTTGGTGGGCATTTTATATATAAGAGTTATACTTATGCCATTTTTTGTGCTCACCATAGCCATAGAAAGAACCACAAGCTTAGACTGAGGGAAGGGGGAAGTTGCTTCCAAGATAACATTTGTTGAGTACCACCTAATGTTTTGATTTGGTAAATTCTTTATTACTAATTATTTGAAGTGACCAAAGGAAGCTTTTGGTAATTTGTTAAATTTGGCATGTATTGTCAGCATAAATGTCAACACCAAACTTGCAGCCAATCCTTATTATATGTTGTAGTAGATGCTGAAAAATGAAATAATAGGCGGGATGATGATTTCAAGTATTGCCCAGTCCTGGTGCACCTACCAGAATTCCATACTAATTTGTATTATCCTATTCCTTTATCTTGGTAATATTCTAATTTTTTGAGTTATTTTTATTTTCAGGATGTGTCATCAAAGATAATGTCATTCTCTCAGAATGGTCCAAGGGCTGTTTGCATCCTTTCTGCAAATGGTGCCATATCCAATGTGACACTTCGCCAAGCGGCAACATCTGGTGGAACTGCAACATATGAGGTTTGTCTAATTGTCGCTCACTTTTTAAATGACCTTGCTTTACAATGATGTTGCAGTGGAATACAAACTTGTTCACTCTTCAGAAATAATTACGAGTTTGTATTAAATATCGTGAGTCCTGTATTCCAAGTTTGTACTGAAGGAAAATACGGTGAATTTACAAAATTTTGAATCTAAACTATGTTTCTGTGCTAGTGATGCTATTTTGTTAAATGTTTATGAAGAATTGTCACCTGCAATAGGAAAATATAGCTGATGTCAAAACTAGTGATAAATTGTTGTTTATTGCTGAGTCATTCCGTTAGGAGAATCTACCATATGATTCAGTTAGTTTTGGAAGTGATCTCTTCATGCGGCTGTTTGACACTTGGTGTGACATACAGGTGCCACAATCCATTTGTTATCATTATGATGATTTTTGACACGTTTTCTGCTTGGATGGTAATCAATATATGTGTATATTTCAATAGTTAATAATATTTTACCATTTGATTGGTTTTATTTAATGATGCAGGGGCGATTCGATATTCTGTCACTGTGTGGTTCATTTCTGCTGACAGAGGTTGGTGGTCAGCGGAGCCGAACTGGTGGGCTGAGTGTCACATTAGCTGGACCAGATGGACGTGTTTTAGGTGGCTGTGTTGCAGGACTTCTTACTGCTGCAACCCCCGTTCAGGTTTGTCTGCTTCTCTAGCAAATCTTTTTCGTGTTTTGTAAAACTGAGCACTCAACTTTAAAATTTATTATCTTGTGAAATTGATAAATAGATCAGTACTGGTGTTGGGGTGGCCAAGATATGGAACAATCTTAACTTTTTCCAGCTTAACTTCTCTCTCTCTCTCTCTCTCTCCCCCCCTTTCCCTTTTTCTGATTGGTATAATTGGGGAAATATATATGAGAAACAATCTTTACAGTGGCATCGGTGCCCGAGGCGGTATAACTCTCAACACAAAGTCCGTGTTTTACAGTCAGGTGAGTGAGTGACTGAAAGGTTTTCAGGTTTAAGCTCGCAACTTTACACCCTGCTTAATTCGTTGCAGTCTCACCAGGCTCCGTGCTCTGACAATTTGTGTCCATACTAAAACAAAACATAAATTTCTGGTGGATGTGATCTAGACACTTGCCTTATAGTTCATTATTGTTCTTTGACAATGATCCACTCTGGTACATACCTTTTTTAAATTTTTAAATTTTTTTTAACAATCAGTAGGAGGGGGAAGTTGCATCACGCAACAGGTAAGACTCAAACCCAAACATCACCCCTGGCAAGGGAGCACCTCATCTACTGGCCCAATCCTTGGTCTTACTCTGGTACATACTTTATACAGTCAATTTTGAGAAAGTAAAGAGTCAGTATTGTAACTTCATTGTCCTAACTGTGGCATGAAAAACTCTCTTTCCCTTTCAATAGTTTGGCAAACTCCTAAACAGCCTTGCTAAGTTGGAACAATTAGAAATTCCAATTCATAGTCAAATGTGAAGCATGGCATGAATCTCTCGCTATTACAAATCCAGGAAGTTTGAGTTAAAATTAGGCTGTCCTTTTGGAGTTGTTTTCAAGAATTCAGTGGTTCCTCTTGCACCAGATATTTTATATCACTGCTGCAAAAAACCACTATTACCATTTTCGAAAACATCTTTCCCTTTAGTTTCCAGCTGGACCAGCTAGCCCATTGCACCTTTTGATGAAAAAAAAGCTCACTATGCTTCAAAATGATGCAACACACTCATAGGTATACTCATTCCCTGGCAGCTGGCCATTGTTTGATGAGGTGATATTGTGCAGTTGCAACAACATTTTTTTGTATCCAAGGTTGCCTATGAAGCATAAATGCTTCTATTGGGGTGTTGCATTCATATCGGATACTAAGGGTGCATTTGGTATCACTTTTGTATACTGTTTTCTGTTCTAGATTACAGAAGAAATGGAAAATGACATGGAAAACTTGTTTGGCAAACCATTTGTGACAACTGTGTTTGGATTTTTTTTTCTTCTATATTTTAGAACATCCCATTTTTAAGAAACACTTCTAACTTGTATTTTGAATTTTTTTTTTATTTACACACAAAAATGAAAATTGGTGTTTTTTCAAATTTTCATTATTTATGTTTTTGGAAAATAAAAAATGCAAATAAAAATTAAAAATGGAAACAGAAACATCAAAATGAGAGTGATAACAAATAGACCCTATACTCCTCATGCATTCATGCCCCTTGTTTCATCATTGCATTCAAAGTTCAAAATCATATGAAGTTAATGGTATACCTCTATTCTAATCCAGTGTACCCCATGTTTTACAGATGAGCTGATTTAATTGTTGATTATTTTTTGTTTCTAGTTGGGGGAACGCATTAGATATTTACCTAAACCGGTAGGTCCCCATCCTTGGGTGTTGTAAGAAAATTGATTACAAAAGGGGAAATCAACGTCCACAATAAAATTACCTGTAATGTAAATGGATCATCATCTTGTCCCTCGTCCATTAACTTCAACAGTAGATATTTAATGGCAGGGGAGGTCCAGCTGCCTGAATCACAAACAACCTTTCAATTTACCCAATAAAGAGCTATAGTTTTCATATCAATATTCTGGAAAAAAATATTGTTTTCTGATTTACATACAAGTGTATTACATACATACAACTGCATGTTTATTGTTTTACTATTGATAATTTCCTCAAGGGTGATGATTGAGACCCCCTCCAATCACCACCCCCACCACCCCCACACACACGTGGCAGGTGGTGATTGGAGGAGAACGGAGAAATGAAAAAAGAAAAAGAAAAAGTGACCAATCATGGGAAGAGGGGGTCAAGGGGGTGAGAAAAAAAGGGGGTCCAAGTCGTCATTGTTTCCTCAATACTATTTTTCTGAGAGTTTGTCATATCAGAGTTTCATTTTGTGTCATCGGTATACCACATTGAGAAGTCCATTCATACAAAGCACACCCATCCATTTGTTCTGCTTTTACAGCATGACAACTGATTTTTATTTTTTGTTTTATTTTCCTTGTAATTTATTGTATTATATATTTGCCTGTTGGCTATCTTCGTCATTGATAGTTTAAGCCAGCTCCACCTTTTAAATACTTTCCATTACCTTTCAGATTTGCTGATTACATATAGATCTTGTATTTTCATTAATAAAGAAAAAGGCATTTTTATTGATCAATATTAGAAAAAAAAGGTTTGAAACACCCACTAGACATTTCTCAACCAAAGTTCCATTTTAACACACAGCTGTGTCTATCTAATGACACCTATAATAATGGGTTTCCTCCATTGTAGGTGATTATGGGCAGTTTCATCGCTGATGGTGGCAAGGAATCAAAGGCAGTAAATCAAATGGAACAGCTGTCAGCTCCATCAAAGCTTGCCCCAGTTGGTGGTGGTGGTGGTGCAACAGGTGCTACCAGCCCGCCATCGCATGGGACGCTCAGTGAATCATCTGGTGGACCTGGGAGCCCACTCAACCACAGCACAGGAGCTTACAACAACAGTAACCCCCAAGGCATGTCTACCATGCCATGGAGGTGATCTTTCTGTGGAGCTTGGCTTTCATTCACCCTTTGAGAGACCCCGTTTGTAAGTTAAGTGCGCGCATTGTGTAATTTTAGTGGTGCAGAATAAAGACAACTGGTGACTTGACTTTGCAGTGTGACCTTGGTCTTGTTAGGAGTAGCCAACCTTGTAGTGACAGTTGGTGCCCTTCTCCAATTGTGTTGATAAGTTATTAATTAGTTGTGTTAGTAAGGTTCTATAGAACAGCTCATGGTGATTGTAGTATGTCGGTGTTTTGGCTGTTGTAGTCTCTTTCTGTTCTTTTTAATTTATTTTTTGTTGAGAACAGTAGTCTCTGTTGTTGTCCATTAGATTTAAATGGTACCAAACTGTCTCCTTTGTTTTGTTTCTCCATTGATCAAGTTTTAGGTTTCCTTAATGATTCTAGCCCATTTCTCCAGGTAGTTTTTGCTTGGGTAATACTGTCGTAGTAAATTGCAGTTTCTTCATCCAAGATTTGTTGCAGAACTTGTGACCGTTTCAATGCCTTCTTGCTTTCCCAGTTGTTTGGGGTGGTACAGTTTGTCAGGGGTAATATTTAATGGAAGTATCTAAATGCATCACGGAAAAATTGTTGGATATCCTGTTCCTTTCGACACTCAAATTTAAATTTTGTTGATTTTTGTTTGATACATCCAAAATTAGTTTTCACCTTACCTTTACACACCCCCGACATATCCAGTCTGCCAACGCCACCTTCTCCCTCTGAGACTTGAACCCTAACCCCACTGTTGCCATTAGAGAGAGCCTTGAGGGGGGGAGATAGAATTGCACAGAAAGGAGAGAGAAGTCGATTTGCAAAAGGGGAGGTGAGTGCGACAAGGAGGGGAGTTGCACAGGTTAGGAGAAGGGGATAGGTTGGTGGTGGGTTGGGGAGGTGTCTGGTTGGTGCTGAACAGTGCCATGACAGGAAGATGTAGGAAGGGACTGGCTGGATTTGAGGAGGATTTTTTTGTCCTTTTTAATAATTTAACTTAAAGAGGATAAAATGATATTAAAGAGGAGTGATATTCCAACAAAATTTTCTCACAAAATTTAAGACAAGGATGATGTGATAATAAGATTCTTGTACTTAAATGATGGATATGTCAACTCCCAATAAATAGATATAAATGAGATTCCTCAAAAAACAAGACACAAATAAGATACATCATTTGTATGAAACTTTGAACACAAAATTTGTTAGTATAGAGCACTACTCTAAACAAAATTATGGAAGGTGGAATGTCCAATAATTTATTATTATTATTATTATTATTTTTAAAGGATGCATTTTGAGGCTCCCAGGTGTGCTTGCTCAAACTCGAATTCCAGCTCATTAATCCAATCTTGTTAACCCAGGCAAACAGCATGGTTTCTCAGTTTACAGCCCTGGGCTTGAGGTCCAAGAGATGAGCTGGGTCATGGCAAATTAGCAGAGGTAGATCTACTCTTTTTACATACCTGTTTTCTCAGCAATCAAAGTTCAAACTAGGTGGATTCACTTCGGGCTTTAGATACTCCCGCAGATCAAATCAAATCAAATCAAATCTCCTTTGATAGAGACACAGTGGTTGTTCATAGAAATAAAAAGATGATCTCTGATCACATTTTTCAACACTACCAAAAAAAATCTAAACCCTTAGCTGTGTCCTATTTTACTGCCTATGAAGGAACTGCCCTTATACAGTAGTAAATACAGCTGCTAAAAAGATTATATCAACAATAGATGCTCCAACTTACTTCCTGGCCCTCTTCAACAGGAAACGCAATGAAAAAACCCCAAGCGCAAGAGTCTGCCAAAACCAGCCTCTTGCATTCAAAGGATCCACTTTTTTTGCCAGATGCCACGCATACATAGCCTCTCCAATATGAGCTGCTGTAGCCAAAATGAACACCATTCTCATTACCCACAGAGACCGGAAGAAGAAGAGACAGAAATCTCTTAAAAGCAACACAGGTCCGAAAGCTGGCCAATATGCAGCAATAAATAGCAAAGTCATTCCAATTACACTAAACATCCATGTATATATTGTAGGCCCATCCAAAATTCTCATTTTCCTCTCTTGAAAATATGATATGGTTGCGGCCATGCCCTCCCGAGGACTCACCATAGGGACATAGCCAAGCTCCTCCTTTGCTTTTAGGAAAGAGAAGTAATGAGTTACCCCAACCTGTCAAGAGATAAAACACACACACAAATATATCAGATATGGTTCAGTACAAAGTAGTGAAACTTGCAAAACCTAATAACAGATGTTAGAGAATGTTTCAGGTTTGTCTGGAAATGTGGATGTTGAGATGGGGTGAAAGGAATTACGGTAAACCATGTGGGAAGGTGCAGGATCAATTGCAACTAGGCCAAGTGAGAACTGCAGGAAACTGATGAGTGGCAATAGGACGTATGCATCAAAGTGACGATATGTTGCATTAACCACTTAAATTGAAACCAGTAGACGGGGATATAGATGACCCTTTATAAGATCCAAGTAGGAAGTGATTTTATGTTATGTTGCGTTGTGTAAGGATACTTTTGTACTTTGGACTGTACTACTATAATATATGGGAAAAAACCCTAATATAAGGGAGACAACCCTTCTCTCTGATTTATTTATTTTTTGGATTGGCACTGGGGTGTCAGGATCAAAACCCGACTAATTCCTAGGGATACACAGGCCCTCGGCAAGGAGTTTCCCGCAAGTGTTAATTCAAGAGTTTTTCCCTAGTCCGGTGACCCCAAGGAATTGTTAGTACCTAAGAGGTTTCGATCCCTGAACCTTGAAGGAAGCCTACCCCCAAGATCCAAGGTTTGTTGTTTTTGTACGCAGTAAGGAATGCTTTACAAGTCTACAATTATATTCAACCAGATTCCGAGGTAATTTAGAAGTGAACCTCGCGCACTTCAGTAGGAAGCATCAATGGTTGAGGAAGCCACCATCGGTTCAACCATGGATATAAGATAGTGTAGACCAACTGGAATATCCTTCCCAGAACAAGAGCATGAGAGACAGCTAATGACCGCTTTGGCAGGTCATACTCCAGGCTCTGGAGTAGCGGGCGGAGGAATTCAAAACTGTTAACTGGAGACCCTGTAAATCATTGGCTAATATTAAACCATTGCATGGAAAACAGTTAAATATTAAACACAGTTCACTCTAGTCACTAATCAGTTTTTCGCATTCAAGTAGTCCTTCCTTGGAATCAAGGGTTAATCAATAACTTTAATGGACAATACTATACAAACTAACAAATCTTACTAACTTTTCTCACAGATATGTGACACGCAGTCATAAGACTTCGGTATTTGAAATGGGACCCACTCAAATAATATAATAGGTACAAATAATGTGACTTTTTAAGTTTTGTTAGTTTGTATAGCATTACTCAACTTTAATAGCTCTAGTTGCCATGAAAAGAAGTAAAATATTTCTAAGCAAATGGATTGAATATTACCATCTGATATAAAGTATGGTTGACCAGCAGCTATTGGACGTCCTTCCCTCTGGGGAATGTCATCCAAGAGTCCCATGCTAGCCAATATTAGGGCCAGAACAAGGTTATCTATATAAACCCAGTCTGACTTCACTCTTTCTTCACCAATTTTGAATGGCAGCAGACCTAACTTTGAAAGATTTATAATTCGGGGGAGATGTCTCTCCTCACCTGGTCCATAGATAGCAGCCGGACGAATTGCGCATGTATAGAGATTTCCATTCTTCTTCCTACATAGCATAGAAACATCGTACATAAATCAGAACCTTACAAACTAGACGAGGTCAGGTCAAGCATTGAAATTCATGTGTAGATTCTCTTTCTCTAAAGGAGCAAAGAACTTGATACTGCAAATCTGAAAACGGAAGGATATTTTCATCAATCTGAGTTTGACTTTCTTATGCTATTTTCCAGATAACAAACAAAATTTTGAAAAGTGAGAATGCATAATTCTTCAATATAACCTAAATAAGTAAATTGAAGAAAGAAAACAACTAAGATGAAGTTCTCAACAGTCAACAATAATTTCCACGAATAAGTAGCGGTCTAGTAAGAACTGCATCTGAAACACTATTTCTTACTCAGATTGCTGGGATTTGCAGGATTAAAGAAGGGAATTCAATGAGTCATAAGAAAGTAGAATGACTTTTCTAAACAAAGGCAGTGTCTTATAGATCTGCTTGAGGCAATGCACACCAGAATCATTTTTACACTGTTCAAGGTACTGCTTTATCATGTTTATTTAAGGTGTCTTGTTAGGATCACAAGTTATGCATACACTTTTAACCTCTATTTAATAGATCACAAAATTGTTCTCTATGCTACTTCTATAGTTCAAAAATATATTATGGAACATTTCATATTCATGTTAGTAGATGCTTGACACATACCAACCCATTTGCTAATACATAAAAGTGACAATTTATTTGTTTATTTATTTTTTAAACCAGTTGAAACTTGAAACCAAAAACAACAAGAGTCATAAAAATATAGTTAAAGAAGTGCGAAGCACACCTACTAAACAAGATATCAAAGACAGCCCGACTGGTGAACTTGTGAAAATAAAATTACTTACTTGAGAGGGCGCCCATTGCTCTTTAGAACTAACTGTTCAGCAATACATTTGCTGCGGCTGTATGGATCAACATAATCATCAAGAGGGAAATAAGGTAAGGTTTCATTGCCATTGACAATCTCCTTACCCCCAAACACAACGTTGTATGTGCTCACATAAACAAGCCTCTTAACCCCATGCTCAACACAAGCCTCCAAGACATGGCAAGTTCCGTTTATATTCACATCATCCACGCGGCCAAATTGGAGCATTTCTTTCCCAGACATGCCATATGAAGCAAGGTGAAAAACACAATCTGCGCCGCGTAGCGCTTTTTGAACATCTTGTTTGCGGGTGACATCTCCTATCATTATACGAATTTGGTTAAGAAAGTTGCAGCTAATATGACTATGACTATGACTATGACTATCAATGGCAGTTAATATCATATTCATAGCAAAGGCAATCTAAGCAAATGTGTGTGAGATACAGTCATACAGCACATATTAGTTTTATTAAACAGATTCTGAAGCAATCATGTTTTGTAGATTCAAAACAGTGTGTGGACTATGTTATGAACTAAATATGCAAGAGAAGGAAGAAAATATTGCATCTGGCGGAAGCTTCCAAGTGCTTCATTTGGTTGCTGAGAAAGATGAGGAAAAGAAAAGAGCAACTTAAAAAAATTTTAATTTCACCACTCGGATCATCTGTTTCTGGGAAACAAAACAACACAATTTGCAAGATTCAAAAATTAATCTATTTATTTTATTTTCCTCATTTACAGAGTTACCAGAACAGACAATCCACTGGATCTCATTGAGGGGCAACAATCCATCTTTAACTTGACTAATTACTTTACTTGGATCACTATTCTAATACATGTATGTATGTATGTATATATATATATATAAATTAAAAATCCTACACAATGATCCTGAATCAAGTAATCAAAGAATTGTTCAGCAGAAACGGAACTCAAGATCCTGATTCATCATTTTCAGGGAAACAAAAAAAGAAAAGAAAAAAGAAAGAAGACCCGAGAGAGAGAGAGAGAGAGAGATGCCTGGGATGCAGTGGACTCCCTTGTTGAGGAGATGATGGGAGCAGGGAGAAGTGGTACGAAGGTCAAAGGTCCGAACTCGGTGAGCACCCCTTCTTAAGAGCTCCAAGCAAAGACTAGACCCAACAAATCCAAGCCCTCCGGTTACCACGAAGGTTTTACCCTCTATTCCCTCGTTCTCGCTCAAATGCATCTCTCTATCTCTTTCTCTCTCTCTCTCTAGCTCTCTGTCTTTCTGTTTTTGTTTCTGCAGAAAACAGGCCCTGTCTGCGAAGTGAAATATTATTTTTTTTTAGGTTAAAATTTAGAAGAATATAAAATAGATTAAAATGACAAATAAAATAAAATATCTCATTTAATTTATGATTATTTAATTTATTTTTTTTATAAATATTTTATTCAATTAGAAAAAATTTAATAATTTTTTAACATATAAAAATTTTAACCTACTAAAATAATTAAAAATTAAAATAACTTATTAAAATAATTAACTACCCGCTTCATAGTTTGTGGGACTGGATATTGATTCGCAATTCTTTGTTCACGGTCCGGCGTGAAATTGGAATGAGTCCAAACTCTAGGGAGGCTTTGGCCCCCAAATTGTCATTTTTCTTGTAATTTTTGTTTTTCATTAATATATACATATTAAAAAGAAGAAGAAGTCCCCCACTCATGAGTTCGAATAGGCCCTTATGAAAATTAATCAAGGCCGGCCCAGCATGAGAGAGAAAATGGGCTTGAGTCAGATATTTGATCCACTTGTATTGTATGCCCTGCGTTCAATCATGCTTGAAAGTGGGCTAGGCCCATCAGGACACTCAGCACAAGGTCACTCACCGCTCCCTCGCTTACAACAATGGAGAGTTGTTCCACTACATACACGCTCTCGTTTCAGACTGCGGGCTTTGCGTTTCAGAAAATATGCTTTACTCATTTCGCTTCTAATCGATCATTCTCTCGCAGACTTCAATTGGTAAATCAATCTTTTTCGTTTTTTTTGTCACACATCTTTGTGTTCATGTGTGTAAACTGTCCATGCTAATTTGTAAATGCACAATGATTTAGCAAGTCTATGAAGTAGATAACAATAATAACAAAAAGAAAAACCACACAATTACATTGTGAAATGTGTGATTGTGATTTTTTTTCATCTCAAGTTTGAAAATCAAACTAAACCCACCAATACTTTATGACAAGAGTGGTTGAAGACAATCCAGATCGATTATACATTTGATTATTTGTAGAAGGTGATATATATTGCATTCCCTTTTGGTGCATTGTTATTACAATAGGAGGTTGAGTTTTAACCACTTTAATTGAAAAATTGGGTGAAAATTTGGGAGAAATTACAAGAGGGTGTGCACTGTATGTAGAGTGTTTTGCAGATTTTGCATGCCTTGTCCTCCTCATGTATAGGAAAATTCACTTGTAACTTCATTGAATCATCAATTTGTGTTTTTTTTTTTTTTTTTGGATTCCCCATTGACAGATGGGTCAAAAAATGTTTCCATCTTGAAGTCAGTTATAGTTAACTCCATAATAGATGAGAGAAGTCGGAAAAACTGTCCATGCTAATTTGTAAATGCACAATGATTTAGCAAGTCTATGAAGTCAGATGGGTCAAAAACTGCTTCCATCTTGAAGTCAGTTTTAGTTAACTCCATAATAAATGAGAGAAGTCGGAAATTCTCAAACATGTTATTAATGAGATAGGTACTTGCGAATGTATAAAAGATCATGAGACAATGCTTGGTAGCTCAAATATGAGGTTGGCTTGAATGGCTCGAAATTCACCTAGCTGGTCGTCCAAGCAGATGTCTGGCCGGTTGTTCAGTGAGGAGGCTGACAGTTGACAAAGGTGACAATCGCAGTAGACAATCGCAGTAGACAATCTTTCACCCGGTCGTCCAAGCGGACGTCCGGCCAACACTCATTCGGGCCATTCGAGCCCTCCAATTCGAGCTACCACGCTTTTTCCAAGATCATGTGAATCAGGTTATCCCTTTATTGAGTTGGAAAAATTGAAAGATCTTAGTAGTTGGTCATTTATTACATTATATGAGAATTAGTATGACATGTGAACATTATGTATCTTAATTCTTATGAACTGATATAAATATTTATGTGTATTGTATTGTATTTGTATATATATATATGCTTCTTTTGAGAAAATATGTGTTTTCATTTAATGTACATTGTAAGTGCAAAAGTGGTTCTTTTCAAATGTAACAATACCATTGTTAAAAACTTAATACTTCATTGGTGTATGATCATGTATTTTTTGTACTATACCGGTTTTTCATTTATTTTATTTTACTGTGGTTAGCAGCACATATTATTATTATTTTGCTCATTATGCTTTTCTGTGCACAAATGATAGTAAAACATGATTGACTATTAAAATCTCCAGTCGTTTTGATTATATTTTAAATAAACTATTTCCATATCTTGAACCTAACCTAATTGCTCCAAGTCATTAAAACTTCCCTATTTCTTTCGGTATTTGCGTACCTATGTCATGATGCAGTGGAGGGAATGGAGGTTGTTTTTGTTTGTTCCCTTTTCCTAATTCTTTGAACTACTAGTTTTCTTTTCAGTATATGTTAGTCAACAAAATTTGAAAGTCCTTCTCTATATGGTTCAAATTTTTGTTGTTGGAGATGAGTTTCTCTTGTTTAATACCTAAGAAGTATGGACACTTCTAAGAAGTTGACGTATCCATGTCGTGTCCATATCGAAGATCGACACTCTTTGGACACTCATAGGACACGTGTTCGACACTCTTTAAAACATGTCTTATTTTAATTTTTTTTTTAAAGACCTGAACACTCTTTGGACACTTGGATAATACACATGTCAATCGCTTAAACACACATGTCTATCGATTAGACACATGCAAAACTAATTATAAGTTTGAACAAAACAACTTAACATACAATAATAAAACAAAACCCATATAAATTTATAAGAATTAGTGTCATATTACATTTTTGTATTATCTTTGAATGATATATTTATCAGCAATGATTGAGGGCCACAATTTTTGTGGCTCAAATGGCTCGAAATTGCTAAAACGACGTCGTTTTGACAATTTTGAGCCATTTGAGCCACAAAAATTGTGGCCCTCAAACATTTTCCTATATTTATATATATAGCATATAATAAATATATAAAATTATATATCTCATGAGTGTCCCTCATGTGTCGTGGTTAGTATTTTTTGAAAATTAACGTATCGGCGTATCCGTGTCGTGTCACGTGTCTGTGTCCATACTTCTTAGTTTAATATTAAGTTTTGGCTAGGGACTGGGTTCTTTATCTATATTTTGGTTCTTTTACTTTGGCCCAAGATTTTGTTGATTGTTATTATCCATGATCAACTTAATTTTATGTGAAAGAGGCTAGCCTTGAAAGGTTAAACGCTTAGCTGTGAGATATAATTTCAAGTTAAACTCTCGGAATTCCAAATTCATAACACTTTCACCAGAGATTTAGAGAAGAAGGTTAAGGCGGTTATATGAACAAGTTGTGGAAGACAATGGAAGGAAAAGATTCACATGCAAATGGAAACTCATCGGCAAAGTTTCAAGATGAAATGGAAAAGGGCAGTATTGTGATCCTTTTGAAATGTCACTGGTCCCAAGTACAGGCAATTTGGATGGGCCCTTCATGATGCCCCTTTTGTTGGTTCCAAATGCGTCACAGTCTAATTCAAAGGCATCTGTTATCTTGACTGGAACAGCTACAAGAGGGGGAACTGTACTAGCTGTTGGAGTTGTGGACATTGGTGTTAGCAAATCTGCCTATTTTTTTCAAGTTGCTCTGCCTGGGATCAGAAAGGATCCTGGTTTGTTTCTCTCTTTTTGTTAAATTTTTGCTATATTTATAGAGAAGTTATGATAATATTAATTGTCGTACTATTTAATAGTCCTTGCTTACCAACAAGGCAACTCCTTTAAGTTACAGGGGATTAAAAACCCAAGTTTTTCTTAATGCTGAACTGGGTCAAAAAGATTTTGTTGCATCTAAGAATGTGAAGACATGATCTTTCTATCCAGATTCCAGTGCAAGGAATCCAAGGTATTGGGCTACCCTGTGTGTTTTTGCATCTTCTGGCAGAAATATTTTTATGCTGTTGAAGTATCTATGTCATTTGGGCACGAGTCTGATTCCTGGAGACAACCATGTACACCTGACACTTTAATCTAGTGCATTTAACGTAATTGCAACTGATGCCTGTAGCAATATAATAGCAATTTTCTCTTGGATAGTGTTTCCTTTCCCTTGCCTTGTTCTAAGTTTTTTAAAAACTTAAAATATTGCCTATTTGGCAAGCAAGACGGCCTTTTTTCTTTTTCTAAGCATAAATTTATTACCAAAATCACCTTAAAGGGGCGAAAACCCTATATAAAAACCGAAGCCTAGAAACTTAACTTCTGTGTGCATATACAAATCACTTATAAAACTGCTCTCAAGACAAAACCAAGAAAGGACAAAACCTATGAGGAAGTAGGACGTCGTATACTACATAAACTTACATACATGCCAACAAATCTAGGCATGAGCATGGCCAGATATTTAAAGGACTATAAGCACGTTATTTTTTATGGTATGGAACTGCATGTTACACAGACCACCAAAACATCTTGTAAGGATGAATATACAGCAGCCTAGGCTTACTATTCTGCATAAAACTACATATCTGCCAAACATGTTATTTAGATTGATAAGACTGTGTAAGGAACCCTCTCGACTCTACCGGAAAAAAATCTGCAAAGAAGGTGGTAAGAACACTATGCTGCACCACAAGGTTTACAATTGTTGGATGAAAAATGGCACTGCCAGTTAATGGATCTGCATTCTTGGAAATTATGGAGGCTACTAATTAGTTATGGGTTTCGTTTTTATTTTTTATGACAGGCATTATCTAGACAACCTTTATAGAAAGAGAATCACAAGGTTTGTCTCCAACGTGTGGTCAACTTGTTTTCTAAAATTTTGTAATGGAATCTAAAAATAGGATAGTTTGAAATTATTTGCTCAGTATGTACTTAGGTTTGGATAATTTCCTAAAGGCCATCAGTATTTTTCAGATGCAGAATAGAAGTGCTGGAGTTATCTAGACAACCTTTATAGAAAGAGATTCACGAGATTCGTCTCCAGCATGTGGTCAATTTGTTTACTAAAATTTCGTAGTGGAATCTATAAATAGGAGAGATTGAAATTATTTGTTGAGAACATACTTTGGTGCAATTATGTATGTCTTGAGAGTCAATAAACAATTGCTTTATGGTGCATTTATGCTTAGTTTATCTTTCAGAACGTACTTTGGTGCATTTACGTATGCCTTGAGAGTGGATAAACAATTGCTTTATGGTGCATTTATCCTTAGTTTATCTTTGTTTTTGCATTAGACCATTTAAATTTAGTTAATAACTATGACTACTCTTTTGCTTCAAGAAACATGTACACACATGGTATGCATGATCTTCTATTTTTAGTCTTTCACGAGTTAAAACCAAAATCTATCTTGCATTTGGGATAATGTAATTGTATTTCATTTGAGTGATCTAAAAAATCTTTTTCTTTGCTCTTTTGGTGGCTTTCTTTACGAGACTCTCTGTTTACTTCTAAGAACTTGATAGCATCTGTTCTAGCAGGTCAGTTCAGCTGTGAGATTGAACGTGATGGAAAGGACCATGTACGGGGTGTGACGTCAACTGGTGGAAAAACTGTTTTGAGACATTCCCGTATTTATGAAATGAAATTTCAGCAACAATGCCCACCCGGACCATTCACTCTTTCTTTCAGTCTGCTAGGACCTGTTGATCCAAGGCTTTTTTCACCACACTTCAGATCTGATGGTATTCTTGAAGCCGTCGTCCTGAAATACGAGTAATGTTGGAAAATTTGGTTTATAAGACTTATTTTGGACAAACTTTGAGCCCAAAATAGAGTGGGCCCCAAACGTCTTTTGGGGTGGGTCCAAAGAGGTGACGTGTTCCTTGCCGCGTGGCCAGTCACATGGTGAAGGCGGTTCGCCAAAACCATTTATGAGTGAATGGAAAGTTGACGTCATTTTCGAGTTCGTGGAATGAACATTTAAAGATTTAAATGTGGGTTTCCTTAAAATGGGTTGTCCCATATTGAAATTTTAATAGAGTTTTTTTTGTGTATATAAGCTCTAGACTACAACCCTTGGGTTGGGCCCCAAGGAGCACCCCAAGTTTGTAGAAGGGAGGAGTTATGAACAAATGAAACCTTAGCCCAAACGACCACACGCGCGTGCCGCCGGTCCGGCCGAGCCAAGCCTTGTGCGATTGTGGGTCGATTCTGACATTAATTTTTTGGATAAAATTTATTTGAATTTTTTTCAGAAATTCTTAATGAAATTAAATTCCAATTTTGTGTCAAAATTGAAATTAATTTTCTGTCCATATATTACCAACTTCAGTCCGTATTTTCAACAGATTAAATTCAGAAATTCTTAATGAAATTAAATTCCAATTTTGTGTCAAAATTGAAATTAATTTTCTGTCCATATATTACTGTTGGCTTTTTTGGCTTTCGAATGTTATTATTGTAATTGCGAGCGTGCCAACAAGGATCAATCAGTCCTTACAGAAAATTAATTGCTAACCAATTATCAGACGATTGTGCTTTAGTTCTTTCAGCCTCAATGAAGAGGACTTTTACTGGTGGCTTGATTTAGGAGAATTAAGCAAAATAACAATTAAATGAAGAACAGTTGAAGTATTTCATTAAAAATGAAAAACTTACAATGATCCAAACTCAGCCTCGTAGAGGTTTACAGCAACAATCTACTTGAAACTACTCATATGAACGACGTGCAGTGCAGGAATTTAAAGTACATGAAAATGAAAGACTAGAAATGTAAAACTGGAAAGGAAAATAAGTATAATAAGACTGGTTTTTTGGATCTGAGTCTGGGGGTTTTTTTCTGGGTCTTCTCTGCTATTTATACTTCTCAAGGATGACCATCAAATTGTATTTCTAACCGTCGAACTGCTCCTCCATGATCGCTGATTATGTTGTCTTACAATTAGCCCCACTGTGCCATCATTTGCAGTTAGGCTTCCCTCATAAATTTGAATTTAAATGTGAGTAACCGTTGAAGCCACATCACCTTGCATCTCTTTGTTGATCCACCGCTACTCAGATCTCGTAATAACTAATACTAACTGCCACGTGTACGATCAGGATCGAAGACTTGAATAGTCTTCCTGTATTACCCTTATTCTGTCACGCGTCGAATTGTAATTGGCTTGTACAAAATATGTAGCCAACATTATCCCCCGCACTAATATACCCAATACTTGGTGATATTAGTGGATCAAGGTTTTTTTTTTATCCACGTCTTAGAACGTGCATGGGCTTTGCATTCTTCCAGAAATGCAACTGTCATTCATTATCTGCATTAAACTCTCCTCCAATCTTTTGAACATCCCTACCACCTTAGTATTCGAACAGACTGATACATTTCTTGTGGCCGAATCAATTTTCTCCTCCATTGATCGAGCACACGAAGAGTCATCTGATGATATTGTTCCTCCTCGAAAGAACCTCCATGCATTAATTAGCCACCTTTACCCACCTTTCTATATCTAGGTCATGGATGCCTTTGCAAATTATCAACCTTTGGACTACGAACACATTGCCCTTAATCCTTTGATTCAGAAACTTACAAATATGGACATGGGAAATTCTTCTTCTGACTCACCCTTGGACTATGAACAAACTGCTCTCAATCCTTTGATTCAGAAAGTCACAAATATGGACATGGGAAGTTCTTCTTCACAACCCTCTGCATGGGATAAGGCTGCAGCTTCTTTTTCCTCTGGGGCTTCTGATTGGACAAGTTGGTCAAAACCTGAGGTCTATGATTTAAGGGAGTGAATCAACCATCACTTTGTCGAGTTTACTGACCCTTTAGAGTTCCCTTCTTATGCGCGAAGCTCGGTGGTCTACCCTTACGTACCTATCGACCGTCGACGCAGTTTGGAGGAGAATCTACTTGTAGCATGGTACACATCCTCCATGCCTACAAAGATAGTGCACATTGCCCGACGCTCCGAAGAGGCACAAGGGTACAATCCGTTGTTCTTAGCTCAGAAGGCAAAGCTTTGCTCTTCGGACTAGCTTGATTATATTAATGCCCTTGTTCCTTCTGCCTTTGCTCCTCCTCCTGAAGTGGAGGCTTCCATACCTTCTCCTCCGCCAACTCCTTGCTGGACAGAGAGACTGAGGCTTGTCCTCTCTGAGGATAAGGTCTTTCCTCCCTACAAGCCTCCACCTTTTTCTACTCCAGCTGAGCGAAAGCAAGCCCAATTCCTGCTTGCGGCCTTCTCTCACTTGCCTTTCAGTGTTCTTGAGGACGAAGTCCCTCTCAAGAACCTTCAATGGGCTTGTGATATTCTGACTCGGGGTCATGTCCTCAATCCCCTCGCCCAAGCAGAGCTTCACATGTTTTTGGATTAACTTCCATTACTTCTCCACTGGCATCGGACCTCTATAGCCACCATTCAATCTTTGGACCAACTCTCGTCCCTTCGAGTTCACGCCCAGTATGAAGCAGAGAACTTCATTGAAGAATTCAAAAATTTCAAGAATAAAGATTCTACGTACTAGGATGACTTGGATAAAGACGAGTTGGAACAAAGATTGAGAGAAACAACATTCGCAATAAAGGCTGAAGAGCTCTTCTATGAAGTGAGAACACATCAACTTATGCAGCCAATTCTAGAAGAAATAGAGGATAGAATAAAGAAAGAACAGAAATTCATTGATCATAACTGGACCAAATTTCACGATCTTATTATTTATTATATTTCCTACTTTTATGAGCTTGAATTTGTACCTAAAGAGGGTCGTTCAATGTAATTGCTTTTGCTTTAATACAACTAAGATTTTTCTTTATTTGGCATTGTTTCATCTTGTCTCCATTTGTCTTTGAAAGCAAATTCAGGACTCCGAACTGGACAATCTTATCCTTCGAATCTGGACTCAATCATTCTAAATGAAACACTACAAAAAACCAACATGAACTTTTCCAATTTATGGAATAAAGATGACAGTTTTGCTGATTTTTTTTTTTGCTGATTTTCATTTAGAATCAATGCTTCGAATTTTAACAAACTTACCCCTTAAAGCTTGTTTTAATCGTAACCAACATATGGTCATGATTAGTATGATCAATCAATTTTAAATTGACCTTCTTTCCTTCGAACAATAGTCCATACTTTCAAAAGATATGAAAGCTCCTTTTGAGGGTTGCACTGTTTTAGTTCGAAAAGACAACCTCTTTATGTATATATATATATATAAACCAACTAATGGTTTTGATGTTTGGAACATCAATTTCCATCCTTAAGGGGTCTCAAGTTTTGCTTCGAAGGACATTACTCTCATTTCAGAAACCTAAAACAAGTCTTTAATCCCTTTGAAGTAAACAAATACTTGAGCCTTCTTACATCCTTGGGTATGGAATGTGCTTCGAAGTCGGCTTCTATGCTTCGAAGCCGTTATTTTTTGACCTTTGGCGCCAAAATCTGGTTTCGAAGCCAAATATTTTACTTCGAAGCTGGTATCAACATCTGGGATGTGTTTTTTCCTCCAAAAGTGTCAATATTGAAGGAAACTCTTCGTATTTGTACTTTTAATACTTAACGAATTACGCGATACATTTTCCGGACACACAGGTTTTTATTTTTTTATTTTTAAAACCCTTTTACTTCTTGTTTTGAAATCACTTGCTCGTTTAACACACAAACCCTTTATCTTTACTGACTCTCTACTCCCTTTCCTAACTTTGTCTTCTGAGAAAAATTTCAATCAATGGCTTTTTCTTCATTGAAAGTACCAGTTGTAGAGCGCGCGAGCCCGTCTGTGACCTTAAAAAGGATCATTGAGGCAGAATGTAAAAAGTACAAGGTCGGTGAGAAAAACACCATCGATGGACCTATTTTCATCCATCGACGTTATGAGCAACAGGACTATGTGCTTGGGCCCATCTTCAAGGAGATTCTTACTGAGCTTCCAGCGTTATATCCACGTCTAGAAGACCACTGTCTCCTTTACGAAGGTGGTCTTGACTGGGGAACCTGGAGGATGAACCGTCCCCACCGATGGTGGCCCACGGTGAGACCGGAGTGGTAAGAATGGTACGATCGGGTTGTCCCTGCTAGGACTTTGGACCTTCAAGAGCTTTGCCTTCTCAATGCCCTTCGACTATCCAGATTTACCATCTCAGAGGACCCTTTCCTAATTCCTGCTACCTTTTGCTTCTAGAATTCTGCTTTTAATTTTTTCCAATTCAGATGTGGGATGATGGCCCATATTGTTCTTGATATTTGCCATCTATTAGGATTATCTCCCATTGGTACCCCCATTGGACCAGATTATCCTGACTTACCCGTCCCACTATTAAGGCTTCATATTCAGCTCGATTATTAGAATAGGTAATCTCATCCACCCTGAAACCATATGTGGTTTCTACCCCTTGTGGTGATTTAATCACTATACCAATTCCAATTAGGCCATTGGCTCTTGATCCATCGAACCACATTTGCCATGGCTCAACACTAGCTATACCAAGTTCCATTATTTCTTGGCTTTCTATTTGAGATGGATGGTCTGCCAAAAAATTAGCTAAAACTTGTCCTTTTACTGCCTTTCGGGGAACATATTCTAAATGAAATTCTGATAAGGCTAGTATCCATTTGCTAATTCTTACTCTCAACATAGGTCTAGATAACATATACTTAACCAAATCCGTGGTTGCAATTACCAAGACAGTTGTAGGCAAAAGATAATATCTTAATTTCATTGCAGCAAAATACAATGCAAGGCACAACTTTTCTATAGCTGAGTATTTACATT